CTCTCTCTCTCTCTCTCTCTCTCTCTCTCTCTCTCTCTCTCTCTCTCACACACACACACACACACACACACACACACACACATAAATAAACTTTTAAAAGGTGGTCACGTGCAGAAACATGAGATGCTATGATGGAAACAGAGCTGATGAGCATGTTTACCTGTCTCAGTCAGTTTGGGAACTGGTTCCTGGTAGAAGGGATATTTCTCACAATGACGGGGACTCAGCTGGGCATGAGACCCTTCCCAGGAAGGCTCCTCCAGGGAGTTCTCTTGAATATCTCTGCTATGAGTTTGGAGCTGAAAGTCTGGAAGTTCTTGTTCTCCAGGCTGAGCTGCTGTTCTTTCCAGGAGCACCTTCTGCCCTTGCAGACAAACAGCCACCTAGAAAAGGGCTATCCATTAATTCTCCATTCCTTGATGGACTGGGAGCAGCATGCCGCTCACTGCTATAGCGTGATCCCTTTACAACCTGGAGTTCAAATTTTACGGATACCACCAAGACCTTCAAAGGAGATATATGAAAGGAAAAGGGGCTTCTTCACACAGCCCGGAGCCAAGCTCTTCAGAAGAGAGTTGGTGAAAATGTCAGACTTAGTGATGCCAGTGCCCCTCACCACCACCGTTCCTGCCCCATATCCCAACCCTCTCCACTTCTGCTAGAGACAGACCCCTGGGAACAGAAAACAATGCCATAAGGGGCCACTGGAAAACATTCCAATCTGGTAGGTTTTTCTGCTAAAGAGGTCCAAGGTACTCGGATCTAAGAAGATGAACTCGCCTGTTCCCTCACAGTGCTATTTTCCAAAGCATGTCAGACTTGCTTCCTTCAGAGGCTCCAGCTTTGGGGGGCTGGCTTTGGGGATGGGGATGGGGTGGGGCAGCAACACCAGGGAACTGAGCTGAGACTTGCCCATTCATAGGCAATATAGTAGACCTTTCACTGGAACAAAGTCCACGGAAATTCACCCCAAATTAGTTCCCTATTGAACAGACTAGACCTGTCAGCTAAGAGTTCTGATTGTAGCAAAACTTCAGGACTAATTGGGTCAGGAAAGATCTGACAGTAAAGATTTCAGAACCTTGAAACTCCACTCCTAAGGTCGTGAAGCCTATGAAGGAATATCTTACCTCCTCACTGGGTGCCAGTGGCTGGGTATACTGAAACCCTGTCACAACGTTTTTTAGGGGGTGCAGGAGTTCCTGGAGGCTGGATGCGACTTTTGAAGCCATCCATTCGTCTGGAACCTCTACTAGCTGGGATCATGAGACAAAACACTACCCCAAAAGACAGAGAAATCCTGGGACACACAGAAAAAGGACCCAGAAAAAGGACCCTCCTTACCCATTGCTTTGGTTTTTTGGATGCTCTGTGTAAATCTTCCACCAGAGTCACAATCTCCTTGCCGCTCATTGGATATCGATGCCTGACCTGCGCCTGGATCTCTGGAGGAAGGATGACCAGAAACTGCTCCATCACTAGGAGCTCCAAAATCTGCTCCTTAGTGTGTAGGTCAGGCTGCAGCCACTGTCTGCAGAGCTGTCGAAGGCGGGAGAGCGCTTCCTGGGGTCCAGACACCTCCTGATAAGAAAAGTGTCTGAAGCTCTGGCGGGAAAGCTCAGGATCAGGGCCGAATTTTTGCTGAGGGGTTCCACGTTTCTCCTCCAGCTTCATTATGATGTGTCTCTCTTGCTTGTCAGTGTCCTCAGTGTAGGTACTCAAAGTTATCTCCATTTTAGCTGCCATTTTGGGGGCCCAGGAAACAACGTCACTCTAATCGTAACTGATCAAGTCTTCTAGGTCATTGCTCTGGAGAAATCTCTCTGAAGACTAGAAAAACGGTAGAAACGAAGCTTCTCTGGGAGTGTTAGAAGTGGAAGGACCGCAGAGACATAGATAGCTTTCTCATTTGCAAGCCCTTATCCCAGACTCTGAAGACAAGATAGTTCCTGACAGTGGGAGGAGTTGGTCTTTTCGTCAGTTTTTAAGGAGAGAAGTCAAAATAATCCAAAAGGGCACTGGAGGGAATATTTAATTTTGTTATCTGGTGACATGCAAGGCACGATCTAACGGGCTGGTAGAGGAATCCCCAAGAAAGTTCAAGCTGTCATGCGCGTAGCTTGCACCAACTCTCCAGCCTCCTGCAGACTCCGACCTCCAGTACCTCTGAGAGCAAAAGCGCAGAGCTAGGCGAGGCCACAGCACGCCAGGGACAGCGAGTGCAGCTCCGCAGCTCGGCCAGGCGATGCTGCAGCAAGGGGGCGCGCAGATCCACCGCGGTGCTGGGTGTCAGCTCCAGTAGTCACCTGCGACGAGCTGAGCCAGCTCAGAACCCAGCACCCGCCAACGAGCGACCCACCCCTCCGGAGCCTAGAGACCAGGACCCCAAGAGCACGGGCTGGGGGCGGGGCCGGAGCCGAGCCACGGAGACACCCACTGGCTGAGAGAGCAACCTTGGGAAGGTCCGCCTTTCCCCTACATGATTGGGTCCCTGGAACATTTTCAATTGCTTATTGGCTACGTGATCTATCCAGTCGCAGTGCTTCCCGGGAGTCGTAGTCCAGGGGCTAGTCCTGGAGCATGCGCAATGTCCTGACTCGTACCCAGACTGTTGACACATCACTCGGTTGGTTGGGGGAAAGATTGGGGAGCAGGAAGTCCGGAGCTCCAGTGAGTCCTCCGCCCGCTCGGTTGCGGTGTGGAGGGCTTCAGGTCAGGCCTCACATTGGCTGGAAAGTTCTACCTCTTCGGATCCGTCCGTGGGTTGCTGGGAAGCTGGACCTAGACGGTGGACCCGCCTTGCAATCCTCATCCGGAGCAGGACGTACCTTGGCTTTCTCTGACCTCACCTCTCGGATTTTTCCTACTCTCCTTGGTCTAACTCTTACATTGACTCAGCCAGCATGTGTCAACATGAACTAGAAAACTTTTCAATATTTTTTTTTTCTTGCGGATGGGAGTTAGCTCAGTGGGAATAGTGCTTGCCACAGAAATTTTTTCACAGCCATGTGAAAAAATCGGATGTGATAGTGAGTTGTTACAATCCCTGTGCTGGGGAGGTAGAGGGAGGGCAGGAGGGTCCCTGGAACTCCCTGGCCACTTAGCCTAGTCTAGGTGGTAATTTCCAGAACAATGAAAGACCGTGCCTCAAAATAACAAGATGGACAAACAAAACAAAAAGAAATAATTAAAAAAAAAAAGCCCAAGCAAAAATGCAAGAGGCCTGGAGAGGCATCTCAGTGGTTAAGCGTTTACTGTTTTATTCTAGGGGATTTGAGTTGTATTCGCAGCTCAGAACCATTTGTGTCCAGGAGCTGCAACAACACCCCTAGCCTCCAGCTGAACCTACACTCCCGCACTCACGTGTACATACCCTCATACAAGCACACACACACGAATAATTCAAAATAATTAACAAATCTTTGAAAAGTTTAAAAAGCAGACAGGCATAGTGGTCCACGCCTTTAATCTCAACACTCAGGAGGAAGAGTCAGGTTGATCTCTGTGAGTTCAAGGCCAGCCTGGTCTCCCTGTAAGTTCTGGAACACCCAGAGCTACACAGTGAGACTCTGTCTTGGAAAAACATAACAAAAACAACCAAAAATGTTTAAAAAGCAAGTAACAAAAAAAAAAAACCTAATCAAGATGTCCACTACTGAATTATTTAAAAATAATTCTTAACTTTCTGCCCCGGCACTAGGAGTGGCAGGAGGGGACAGCAGGGTCACAAGGATGAGGGTGACATAAGGTGAGCAGCTCCTGAGAAATGCCCTCCACAGCTGACCTTTGGCCTACAAAAGCGTGCACAAATGCACAGGAACACAGAAAATTTTAAGTAAAAATTCACAACATAAAAGTAACCGATATAGAGTAAGCAATTACACTGCTATTTACAATGCTGTATAGCCACTCTACCTAGTTATTAGACATTCTCATCACCCTTAAACAAAACCTTGTACCTGGACCTGGCTCCTATTCTGTCTGAATGTACTGTCCTCACATAATATTCCATTGTATGGAGAGACAACAGTTCCAAGTTTCTATGCTTTTATATCTTTTTCCAGGAAGCAATTTGATTGGATATATTTCTAGACAGCCTTAGACTTATTTACTTGATTGTACTGGCTTGTGTGGGTTGCTAAGTAAATCCTGAGTTCAGATGTTGAAGAATGAGAATAAACCCTGACCTTGCAGAAAATTCAACTCCAAATGGACCAAAGACCTTAACAGAAGAACTGAAACTGAAAACACTAGAGGAAAGGGAACGTGTGCAGTGATGGAGGCACAGGGCGATGCGCTCTGAGCGCTCCAATTGCCCAGGAAATACATGATCGACAAATGGGACCTCGTGAAATGAAAAAGCAAGGCAGCTGCCACTCAAACAGCCATCACGTCCAGTTGTCAACATGACAGCCACATCTGTCCTGACAACAAACCTCACAGATGCTCAGAAACCCCCAATCCGGTCTTGGGTAGTCCGTGGAAACTTCTGCTGAGTTCGGATGCCCAGAGAAGACTTCACCACCACAGACAGCTGCAGCTCTATCCTGGGAGAGACTCTGCTAAGTCAGGGCTGCTCCAGGGACCCTGTGGCTCGGAAAGGTGCCCCTCCCAAGCAGGGAGGGATATGATGATCCTGGGTGGGGTCATCTAAAGGTCGACTTAAGTAGGCTGCCCTCTCTGAAAATGGTGATGTAGTGCAATGTTTTTGCTCTTTTGGCTTTTTAGGGGGCCCATGATCCACCTCCCAAATAAATCACACAAGGGGGCTTATTCTTTGTTATGAATGCCAAGCTTTACTTTGGCTTTTTCCTTGTCAGATTTTTTAAAAATTATTCTGACTACCTGCTGCCTCTGGGCTTTTTCCTTTGTTTACTTTCACTCTTACTCTGTGACGGGTGGCTGGGTGGCTGGGTGGCTGGGTGGCTGGGTGGCTGGCTGGGTGGGTAGCTGGCTCCCCATGTCTTTCTCTCCTTGGTCCTCTTTTTTTCCCTTCTATTTATACTCTCTGCCTGCCAGCCATGCCTATCCTTGCTCCTGCCTTGCCATCGGCCATTCAGCTCTTTATTAAACCATCAGGTGTTTTAGGCAAAGAATCACAGCTTCACAGAGTTAAACACATGGCTCACAAACAAAAGCAACACTCCTTAAACTAATAGTCCCCAACATGGTGGTGCTGAAGTCAGAGCTGCTGCAGGATCTTCAGGGGCTGCTGGAGTAGTGTTTACAACTCTCCACCAACTCACCTCACCTGACAGTTGTTGGGGTCTGTTCCTGTCTAGTGCCTGAGGCTGTGTTGGATGGGTCTGACATCTGCCGATCAAACACTCTTGCCATCAAGACAGCCACAATATTTGTTTTTTGTTTGTTTATTTGTTTATTGCAGAACTAGGGATTGGACCTAAAGCCTCATGTACTCCAGGCAAGTGTTCTATTATATCTCTGAGCTGCATACGCAGCTGCAATCATTTTCTTTTGTTTTTTTTCCCCCCGAAAGGTTTAGGTTTTTATTTTTTAAAAAAGAAAACAAGCTATCTTTTTTCCTTATACATACCAATCCAAGTTCCCATCCCTTCCCTCCTCCCATTCTCTCCACATATCCTTCCACCCAATCCCCATCCAATCCTAAGAGAGTGTAAGGCTCATTGCTTTGGGGAAGGTCCCAGGCCCTTCCTACTATATTTAGGCTGAGCAAGGTATCATCCAAAGAGAATAGGTTCCCAAAAAGCCAGTATATGCAGTAGGAATAAATCCTGGTGCCACTACCGGTGGCCCCCTCAGTCTGCTCAAGCCATACAACTGTCATCCACATTCAGAGGAACTAGCTTGGTCTTATGCTTGTTCCTTCCAAGTCTCACTGGAGTTGGTGAGCTCCCATTAGCTCAGGCAAACTGCTTCAGTGGATGAACCCATCATGGTCTTGACCTCTTTCCTCATATTCTCATTCCTTCTACTCTTCTACTGGACCTTGGGAGCTCAGTCCAGTGCTTCAATGTGGGTCTCTGCCTCTGTTTCCACCAGTTGCTGGTTCTATGGTGATATTTGAGATATTTATTAATCTGACTACAGGACAAGGCCAGTTTGGGCCCCCTCTCCTCTATAGCTTAGGGTCTTAGGTGTGGTCATCCTTGTGGATTCCTGGGAATTTCTCTATAGCCAGGTTTCTTGCTAACCCTATAATGGTTCCCTCAATCAAGATATCTTTTTCCTTGCTCTCATCTCTATCCATCCTCCTTCTCAACTATCTCCTTCCCTCAAGTTCTCCTCACCCCTCCCCTTCTCTGCTCTTCTTCCCCTGAAACCCCCTTTCCCCCCCAACCCCATACTCCACTCCCAATTTTTTCAGTCGATCTTGTCTGTTTCCACTTTCCAGGTGGATCGATCGATCTATCTATCTATCTATCTATCTATCTATCTATCTATCTATCTATCTTTAGGGTTCACCTTATTACTTAGCTTCTCTAGGATCATGAACTATAGGCTCAATATCCTTTGTTTATAGCTAGTGTCCACTTATGAGTGTGTACATACCACACCTTTTTGGGTCTGACTTACCACACTCAGGATAGAATTTACGAATCCTATTCATTTGCATGCAAAATGCAAGATGTCATTGTTTTTAACTGCTGAGTAGTACTCTAATGTGTAAATGTGAAACATTTTCTTTATCCATTCTTCAGTGAGGGGCATTTAGGTTTTTTCCACAAACAATGCTGCTATGAACATAATTGAACAAATGCCTTTGTAGTATGATTGAGCATTTTTTGGGTATATGCCCAAGAGTGGTATTGCTGGATCCTGAGGTAGGTTTATTTCCAATTTTCTGAGAAACCACAGCACTGATTTCCAAAGTGGTTGTAGAAGTTTGCATTCCCACCACCAATGGATGAGTATTCCCCTTTCTTCACATCCTCTCCAACATAAGCTATCATTGGTGTTTTTGATCTTAGCCATTCATCAAGGTATAAAATGGTATCTCAGAGTTGTTTGTATTTGCATGACCCTAAACCTCATGTATTCCATGTGAGTGTTCTATTATGTCACTGAACTGTATATGCAGATGCAATCATTTTATTTTCTTATAATAATGTTTTTCTTTAGGATGGATCAATTGATTTCTTTTGATTTTTCAAGACAGGGATTCTCTGTGCAGCCATAGCTGTCCTGGAACTGGCTCTGTACCCCAGACTGGCCTTGACCCCAGAGATTCACCTGCCTCTGTCTCTCACTGATAGGATTAAAAGTGTGTCCTAACCACCACTCAGCTGAGAATTTATTTTTTATTTAATTGATTACGTTTTATGTATTCGGGTGTTTTGTCTGCACTTATGTCTGTGCACCACATCTATGCCTAGTGCCTTTGGAGGCCAGAAGAAGGCACTGAATCTCCTGAAACAGGGGTTAAAGACAGTTGT